AAGGAGGGTTAAAGATGTAACAGTCAACAGCATCTCAGACACTGGGTGCTATGTGTCCCACATCATAGCAGTCAACAGTTTGGTTGCATTCAGCGGGGTTTTCATTTCTATTGAACTGTGCTGAATATTCGATTGATTATCCAATATCCGAATAGTACTTTGCAAATTTGAATATTCAAATGCAAAATTCATGAAAAGGGAGATTTTTTTTGTTTTAAATGAGAAAGATTGCACTATGGAGGCTTGTTTCAAATGAAAAGCGACAGAAATCTTACAATGATTCAAAAAGTAAATTATTCATTGAACACTTTAAAAAGGAAAAGCAATTTTCAATAGGACAAGAAGCATTGTTCATCTTGCAAAATCCTGGATGGAGATACTCCTACATTTGAGAAGCTTTTTGAGTGATTATAATGTACAATTGTGTCTGGTTTGCTCATCAACAATCTGCTGATCAGTACAACTGAACATTCGGTTAATCGACTGAATTGAGGGTCGAATATTCAAATAGTGAATTATTCAAATTGACTCAGCCCTAATTTAGAATTGTGTTAGCCAAAGAGCCCATGAGAGATCAGTTCAAAGGGTAGAGAATACTAAGCAAAACTGTCAACACAATTGATCAGACACACAAATCACACACTGATTTTCACTCTTTGCTTCAAATGTAGCTACTACGCTGTGTTCCGATATTCCATCCCATTTTGAACACAGCTGTTTCTGGAATTGGTGAACTCACGCATCCTGTTATTTCCTCTTGATGATACTTACCTAACATTCATAATGGTCTCTTCTTTGATCTTCCGAGAGACGTATTTGTTCCGGTTGCCGTAGACAAACTTGAGAGACTTTCGTATTCTACGCAGCCTCCGGGAACAGTAGCTTCTGCGGGTGACAAACAGCAAATGTGAAATACCTCATTATCCTACTGCACAGACACAATGCAACACTAACATTCCTCGCGCAAACAGAAAACAACTCAGGTGCATGGTGACAAGTTACAACCTCTCATAAATTACCTTGTGCACAACAACCCTTAGTTTAAATGAACTTTTGTCAAACTGGACATATGACACCACAGTCTGGGCTCCTTACTGTACATCCACACTGGGACATGCATAGCTCTTGAGTACCAGCTATGCAACTAACCCTTGCTGAATGTCTGTGTGCTTTTTCAGACCAGTCCAAGTTTCACACTTTTACTAGCTGCACTAACAGCACACAATGTTGATGTATGCCCCCTTGACGCTGAACCACCCAGCTGCATATCAGGGGTTCAGTAACACACAGGGCAAATGAAATGTGGGGAATAAACAGCTGCCTCCAAAAATAAAGAGGAAGCAACAATGAAACTGTGAAAGATTCACTGTTACTGATATCAAAAATGATAAAAAAATTAAGAAAATCATACCTCTATTTTTAAGAAACAAAAAGTGAGCACCAAAAATATTGTCTCATCTACCAAGAGTTGATGGGCTTCATACATTATAAACTTCCCCCCCTCCTTCCTTAACAGTGACAAAGAGCAAGACATGACATTCATGAACATCATGTCACCATGTCACACAAAGACCACTTTTGTGCACATTCAGATGAAAATTTACCAATTACTTGACATGGTCCAGCTATACTGTACCTGTATCTTTGGTAGTCTCCATGCCTCAAACCATGCTGTTGTTGAGACTCCTTGATAATCTGTAAAACTGTCGATTGTTTGAATCAAGGAAATTGATGTGTTTCATGATTTCATGATCAAATGTGCCAGCCGGAGGCAGGGGAATATGGCAGAGTGCACGATGTAAAATTGTGATTGGAAGGGTTAGTGGTGTAAACTTTGGGGTTATTGGTAAATGTGGAGCTTCACAACAGTATACCTTTGTAAAACATTTCCCACCTCCTACACACATACAGCTTAGTGGATAGCACATGTAATGCCATACTTCCCCACTTCCCAAACGGTCAAGCCGATTAGTGCACTGATCAGCAGTACAAAAGACAGTGTGGTTCCCTGAACAAAGATTCCCTGACTTGTCTTGATAGAATCTTGACGAGAATAGTGAAATCATCAAGACTGGTATCCTGACTGCTATATCCAATGTCCATTAATTTGCACCTGTGTTTGTACAGTGTGTGTGACACATCATGCTAACAGCCACAGTAAGCAGATGTGGGCACATTGCCATGTAATGGGAAACAAGGATGGTAAGAAAAAGCTCTGGATTTTGCTAAAAATTGCTGATTGCATGGTCCCAAACCATTGAGCACGCATGTTAAAGAGATATTAATTAGTGTAGATGGCTTTTGGGGGGAAATTTGCTTGAAAAGTGCAGTTTTAGGCACAGTTAATGGGCACATTCAAAATACCATAGAGTTTTGAAGAAATGATAATTTGGAATTCTGGGAGTAGTCTAGTCCAAACAACTTCGACTCAACTAATCACCTTTTTAAATATTTGGACATTGTCGGGCAATGGTAGAGTCCGAGCACCTTCCATAGGTGTTTGCTTCCATTAATTCATTTCACTCAAGACAGCTTGTGTGTTGTACCTCCATAAACTGTCTAATGTGCCTGGCTAAGGCTCATGTGAGAATCAGAGATTCCCATAATGATGGTAGGGTTTAGTCACATATGGAAAGAAGAGAAATTCCCCTTCAAATGGGACATGCTGTTGTCGTCGAGCTTGAAGTCGCCATCTTGTTCAAAAAGTGATTTGAACAGTATCCTTATGTCCTGGAAACGACGTCACACGGCACACCGGCCTAGCGGACCATTCACTGAAAGCATGTCATGTCAGCACACGCACGCCGATGACTGAATCCTGAGCGCCTTAAGTCCGGTGTACAGTTCCGAGGTAATCACAGCTGCCACTCAGGAATCAGTCACCGGCGTGCATGCCGACATGGTATGCTTTTTGTGAATGGTCCGCTAGGCTGGCGCACTGTGACGTTGTCTCCAGGACATTAACATACAGCTCAAATTGCTATGTGAACATGATTTGAACAAGATGGCGACATCGAGCTGACAAGACTTTTTCCAATTTGAAAGGGAAATTTCTCTTTTCTTCCCAAATACGAGTAAATCTCACCATCATTATTGGAATCTCTGATTGGCTCAATTGCAGAATACCCCGCCACCCCACATGATCAACCTCATAGCTAGGTACAAAGTGACACCCTCTTCTCAAGGGATTTTCACCTTGTTCTTGTACCCATGTAACCAGTCATTCCAGGGGTCGTTTTGTTAGAGTGGCGGGGTATTCTGCAATTACTCTCTCTGATTTTCACTTGGTCCATAGCTGGGTGCATTAGACAGTTTAAGGATCATTTTGGAGGTGAATAAGGAGGATTTTAATTCGGGGTAAGAGATATTTTGAGTGAAATGAATTAACGGAAGCAAAAGCCTATGGAAAATATTTGGACCCTTATACAGCCCGACCATTTCCAAATGTTAAAAAAGGCGATTTTTAGGGTCCAAGTTACTCGGACTAGCTAGGGGGCAAGTAGACTAATTCCCACATGGACCCACTATACTGCGCATCAATGCATTCCATATGGAACTCAAATTCTCAATTCTCATTATCAGGGTGAGGAATTTCTGTAGAGATGTATGGGGGTTACAGCACTCAAACGTCTTTGTTAGAAACTACTACAGGAACCAGAACTCCTGTTTTTACAAAGGATACCTTCTAAGGTATAGGACACGTTGCTTTCTGGTGGTTCAGGCTTCGTTTCTTCTTGATCCGGAACGGTGGCTTGTTCTTCGACCTCCATTTTGTCAGCTACACGTGGATAACCATTTGTCACCAAGAGAGGGCGCTATTAAAATTTAACGGCGCAAGATAATCATGCATATGTTCTGCAGCTGCAAGCTGCAGTAGTGCGAAGAGGGCGCTGTCAGTGTTTAACGGGTGCCTGTTTAGGTAAAAAAGTTTTCGAAGACCAGTGTGTTTTGAGCAACAACATAAAAGTATTTAATTTCTTCTAATCTTCTTATAATCTTCTTGTGTTCGAAGGCCTGATAATTATAAACGTTTTGACCAAGTCTGACAGTCTTTTTTTCAATGATGACGTTTTTCTCAAGGACTGAGGATTTTGAGGCTGTTTCTGTATAAGTTAGGTAAACTCAGGCTTTCGTGCTCAACTTTGGACTGGACTGGAAAGTATATATCCAGCAAGAAATGAGACAGAGAGGGTACCCCCAACATGTCCAATCGCTATACACACTTCCGACTATTGTTGCCTGACATATCCCCCTCCCTAGATGTCTGAAAAGAATTAAGACCAATATAAAGCGCGGGGGGGGGGGTTCTCCCCATCTCATAAAAAAATCTTGCTTGACATGGGACAGTAGCTTAATCAAGACAGGGCAAGTAATGTGACAGAATGTAAACACACTGGAGAATTATTTCAACAGCAAAGCCGGGCACTGACATGATGAATGCCAAGTCGGGATGTGAAATCTACTGTAACAAAAATATTCCCGAATCGACCGTTATCTGAACTGATTGTCTAAATTTGTGAAAATGGATGAATGGATAAATGGATGAAAATGATATTTTGCGACAAACAAGATACCTAACTGGCTTTGCACCAACGAGCGGAATTTTTTTTAAAGATTGTGATCATCTGGATTTAAGGATTACTTTTGGGGAGAACTATCGAGTTGCCCCTCCCCCCCAAAATGAAGCTGCGAACTAAGATCTATTATTTTTAAAAAAAATAGTGTCTCAAAGACCTCGGGAACAATTGATGAGGGTGTAATATTCTCGTGCATTTGCTTTTGAGTAACAACAATAATGCATGCCACTGTGCGAATAGCGATGACCAATGCTATCGCCCGTGCACGCTGGCTTGGTTTTCTATTTTGACGAGTTAAAAGTGATACGGGAATTAGTCAATCGGCTTACTTTCAAGAATTGTTTTAATCCTTCCAATCAAGACCACCGTGTGTTACTTTGAGTGTGTTTGAGCCGCCACTACATGAATTACTACATTAATCAATTCCATTTTCACACTTTGTTACAGCCTCAGTTTTCAAAAGAAATGATTTTTAAGCATCTGTAGACTATATTCATGACAATTTAAGTCCAAATACCTACCTTATATTTGAAGATAATTCGCAATGGTGTGAAATTATAGAACGTTTACGAAAATTATTACTGGATAGTACTTATCTAAATTACAGAAATGTCGCAGTCCTTGGGACATTTGACAATACTCCTAAGCCTCCCAAAATAATTATTAAAAAATCGGGGCAATGTTGGGAGGGACAACATTTAATTTAACCCGTGGGTGGATTTTTTTTTTCAAAATTTTAGATTTCGTTCTTGAAGTGATCAAATTTTTTTCTCGTTTTTAATTAAAATGACACCTTGCATCTTATGATTCAGGGCAACAAAATTGATACACATACACATTATTTAGCTGCCAGCGTCAGTAGTTGGAATAATTATTTTAAGTAATAAGCACATTTGCCACAATCAATTGCGGAAATCAATTTTTAAAGATCAAATCATTTTTTGCCAAAATGAAATCGGATTTGCTTGCATTCAAATTACCTTGGGGCGAAAGAAGGTTTCTCCTGGTAGTTTTGGGAAGGACGTATAGGACACATTGGTATTTTCATCGGTCTAGAATTTTTTTCACAGGCCCTGGCCTTCGAAGTTTTCGTAGGAGCCCTCACCACACATTCAGTACGGAAGCACTTATGGGTGCAGACCACTAATTCAAGTGAGAATTTCTGTCCAAGCTCATTAGCATTAAAAGTGCCCCCCGTATCTTTCGAAAAAGGAGATTGTTTGGCTCCCAAAATGGAGAGATTGTGCAAATCGTTGCCAGGATCAACTCCCTGGGTCTTTGAGCTTTCATATGAGTGCAGAATGGCTAAAAACTACGGTTGAAAACTGGTCCTAAGTGCCCCAGAAAGTTTACGGTTGCCATTTGAAAAATGGCTGCACTCACACCTCGGAAAAATCACTTTGTGGGGGGGTGATTTTGTTTTGTGGGAATAGTTGAAAATGTAATTGGTTAACCCACATAAAATTGAAAAGAAATTGAAAGATTTGTGACCAGCCAATAATTTCAGTTTGTGTTTCAGAAATCTCAGGGATGTTGGCATGCCTGTTATTGGGCCGTGAACAATGCTGATTTTACACGGTTTTCAATGGGGCTTGAATTAGTGGAGTGCACCTCTAGGACCATTTTTCAACCATTTTAGCAATTCTGCTCTCATAAAGATCAAAGACCCAGGGAGTTGATCTTGGCAACGATTTACACAATCTCACTACTTTGAGGCCAAATAATATCCTTTTTCAAAAGATGCTGCGGGGGCACTTTTAATGCCAATGAGCTGGCCAGAAATTCTCACTTGAATATTGTAGTGGACTGCACCGCCGAATAGAGTTTGCGTAAACGTTGAGGGCGTCAACAAACGCGACGCCACCCGGGCCGTGAGGGCAACTACCGTGTCGATACCCACTCGCCATTTTGTGGTTGTGGTTGTAGAAAAAAAATGATGTCAATGTCAGGATTACGTCCAGTTTTTGCCGGATTGTCGGTATGTTTCGAGATTAATTTGAATACATGTGTAATACAAAGGGTTCAGTGTTTTGATCGTACTAGTAATAACTGCGATAAGTTTTTATTTGCATAGTTGAAATGGAACTAAAATTTTAAGTGAAAAGCCGGGTTTAGCGAGTTGGTCGTAAGATTTGAATTGGATTTTCCATTAAATTCGATTCGTGAAGATATGATTCCTCTTGTAAACCTAATGAGAATTCCACAGATCATGTTGTCTTGCTCGGGTACAGCTATAGAATACAAGGCCACTCGGTTTTGACTTAGATTTTTTTCGACCATCTACATTCATTTTGTGTTGCTTCGTTCTCAAAAAGAACTCTTTCGACATCGTAGCCCCATAGCCTCCAACCGAGCACTCGATTTGGACTTCTTCCTGGAGACACTCCCATTCAATGCAATACCATAGCCAGTGGTTCTAGGGGTGGCCAAGTATTCTATAGTTTCTCCCTAAAAATAGAGCATAATGTTGTCAGGATTGTGAGGCACTCTCTGTTTGCCTCACAGATGCAACTTTTCATTGCTTTGTAGCCTATGGCATTCTGAATGTGCCGGTTTACTCTGTCTAAAAGTGCACTTTTTCAGTCAAATCCTCCCTGAAATAGCCATGATCATCTTAAGAGTGTATAGGCATCAAGCCTACCTGATTTGGAGCAATATGGAGTGATATGGCCAGGCAATAATCTACTTCTTTCAATGCAGTGAAGTCAGCGACTTTTGAAGTTATGCTGAAATTGTAATTGCACGTGCTTTGTTTCACCATATGATTATCAAAACTTTAGGCTTATTGTGACTCTTCATATCGATATTTATGTTTATATTGTCTTTGTAGTGTCAGACAATCTTGAGTGTCAGACCACGGACTTAGGTCATACAATCTCTTATCGATGTGTTTGTTGCGTTTGTCTAATTACTCCAAAGTTAAGCCTATGAACTATCAAGACGCTACAAGCAAATATAATTGCTAAAGGAAAATAAAGAGAAACATGCATTTTTTAAATTGCTTTCTCCAATAAAAGTCAAGTTTGGAAGTGGATTCACAAAAGTAATGGCTCAAAACAAGAGGATTAAAATGGAACAGAAGACCTACATGTACAGGGATCCTGTAGAGGACTACAGCCGAAACTTTGATAAAAATTAAAAGGAATGATATTGTTTCTTTCATTCGTCCAACTTTTTATTATCAAATTCATTGTCATGTGGTGTCAGTCCAGGCCACTGATAAGAAAGGCGCCTTGTTTATGTCAGAGTTTCCAAACACAGGCACAGCTGGGGCGAAGTGGAATGGGATGAGGTGCTGGTGGGGCACCGTGGGGATGGGCTAAGTACCAATGGGGCAAAGTGGTTCAGGGCCAAGTGACATGGGGCAAAGTAACCGACGCCCCTAAGGACTAGATTTTTTTTATCATATTGTGGGAAAGTGAATAAATGAAACAAAATAAAGAATAGGGAGGCTCTGCTTGTTTGTTTCACTAAGTTGTTAAGGATCTTACAGCTTGTGTGTTTGTCCAAAATGAACCTTTGCTGTCAAGGCAGTAATTGCTTCATTCATTTACACTATTTTGTCATTTTGTGGAGGACGTAGCTGTGCATATGGAGAAAATGTTAAATTCCTACCACTTTTGGCAGTTGCTGAGAGGTCATTTCTCTTAAGGTGTCTTAAATGAAAAGATTACCAGGTGATTGATAATTAACCCTACTTGTCCAGTATCCATTAAACTCATTGTGTGCAGTGTCTGGCTTGCTCTGGCTTGCTCTACCAAGTGTTGAATTATGCTTGATCTTGTCAGGTTTGGGACTGCTTTAGTGCATGTCATCCTATACTGCAGAGACCCATCCATACCAGAACGGTATTACTCAAACTCTGAGTCACTTTGTTGGAGTTTATCAGGTTTGGTACAGTGACCTGCATGTACATGTGTCTGTTGAAGTTTGTTGGGTTCAGAATGTTCCCTAGTGCAAGAGCCTAGGGTGTTAGGGTTAAATCTGACCAAAGACATGTCATGTCCATTGATCATACCCAATTAAATATAGATCTGGCTAATGGCAGGTACAGTTTGTATACTTTGAAGCTGGAAGTGCGTAGCAGTGTTAACATTTCTGGACTGCTCAAATTAAGCCCATAATCTAGGGACTCTCAATACTGTATGTGGTAATCCTTAAACTCTGGGCATAACCTGTTAATGGCTCTTCATACCCTACTGTCCCTGAATCCTCCATTTCCAGTATATTTTTCACACACCTATGGGAGTTGGAGCTGACATAGTTATGATCTCAGTAGTGCAGAGTGTTCAAGACGGATCTTTTTCAAAACTGGAAATAAGACTTTGTCTTTGCCGCTTTGAAACTTTTGATAGAACTTGACAGTTAAAGAGTGAATAACACTTGGCCCGAGTCTGGCTCAAGTCAAGGCAGCTGGAACTTCCCAAAACATTTGTGCTAAAACTATGTTTATCCTCATCTGGTTATTTGTAGAGGAGACTGTACGCTGCACAGGTGGCAACAGCTACCCAGTCAGCTGACAAAACCCCTCTCCCACAGGAATCTGTACAGGTAGGTTGCTGTGAAATCATGACACATATGCAAGTGATGAAGATTTTCCTCCAATGTTTACAGTGTGTTCATTTGGAATGGCCTCGAGCCCACATCATTAGGTGGAGCTTTTCGTCATGAGAGATGTCCGTAGCACCCTGGGGTGTCGCCCTCCAGTGACCAATATGTATGGGTCACTCCATGGGGTTGGGGCACAATTTGTATAAATGAACAGCTATTTCCCTGCATGTGGATTCCCAACTGACATTGTTATACATCTTGCAAGGCTGAATACAGAGGTGTGTGTTATTTTTACAGAGTAAATGACCTACCTTGCAGGTCATGACAAGTGGTAAAAGTTACCAGTGTAACAAGGACACCGTCACAAATTGTACTTCAACCTCATGGAATGACCCGTATACATGTATTTCACTGGTGACCTCCGTAAGATGCGCACATGAAGATCAGAAGCATTAGCACTGTTCTGTCTCAGAACTCTTCTGACTTAAATCAGGTTACCCAAACCCCTGTAATAGCAAAAGGAAAAACGAGTTTTATTTTTTCTTTCCTGCTAAGGTTTCCAAGTTGAACAATGGCTTGACAGTAGCTTCGTTAGAGAACCACTCCCCAGTCTCTCGTATTGGCCTGTTAGTCAGTGCCGGTTGCCGCTATGAAAATACCCAGAATCTGGGCATTACCCACTGTCTGCGCAGCTATGCCAATCTGGTAAGTTAACCTGGAGTTTCCTCCTCTGTGGAATTCCTTGAGGATTGCGCCTTTTACGTTATTAGAATGTGCAGTGTGCATATCAGATTGGACAGATCACTTTAGAAAATTTTAGAATGGTTTCAAAGAAATTTGTCAGTCCTGAAAAAGGTACACTCATAGCTCCTGCATGAAGCCTAGACATGGAATGTGTTTACTAACACAGTAAACCTACAGCGTCTGTGTCATTGTCTTGATATTGCCTTGTTTTTTTAGACAACAAGTAATGCAACAACCTTCAAGATCACCAGAGGTTTGGATGACATTGGGGCCAGCCTGGAAGCAACCACCACTCGGGATCACATGCTGTACTCTGTACAGTGTCTGCGAACTCATATGTAAGTTCAAACTGGCAATGGTTTCAATCCTGACAACCCCAAGCCACTCAAACTACCAACAGTAGGTGTTGCCAAGTTGGACGTGGATCTGTGGGGGGGATGACCAAAAAGAAATAAAATAAACCCAGCCCCAGGGGGGGGGGAATTCCTGGATCTGCCCCTGGAAGTTTTGGCTGATTCATTACCATACATTATGAACTTGTTATTCAACTTTATTGGATGGACAAAAGGCTAAGGTTGATGATGATTTTGTTTGAGTGGGAATACCTGGGGGAACATTCCATCGAGTGGCTGGCTAGTGGTACCATGTGTTGGACTGTGCTTGATCTTGTCAGGTTTGGTACTACTACTCTGTAAGTCACCCTTCTACTTCATAGACCCATCCATATCAAATGACTCAAACTTCAGCAGCATTGGCTTGTTGGAGTTTAACAGGTTCTGTCCTGTCGAGTACTGATTACAGTGACCCGCTTGTAGCTGTTGAAATTTGTTAGTTTCTGTATTGTTTCTGGTTCAGTAGCATAGGGCAGTTGTGTGAGGCATCAATCAGCTTGTCATGTCTTGACAAGTCTGTTTTATTCTTCCTTCCCGTAGAGACACTGCAGCCTCCTTCCTCCAGGCAGCAACCACCGGTCAACAGTTCCGACCCTGGGAAATCAAGGACTACAGGCAAAGAGTGCTTTTTGATTTGGCATCGGTCAGAGACCAGCTGCAGATTGGTAAGGGAAATAGGGCCAGGGTTCCCAGCCATCAGGGAAAACCTGGAGTTTTGAGGAAAATGGTTCAAATCAGGGAAATTTTGGTGACTTTTAAGCGGAAATAGGTTGACAAAATCATGCTGGACATTTGAAATTCCGCTAGGGAAAAATCAGGGAATTACGTTTTCATGAAATGCTGGGAACCCTGAGGGACATTTATCAGGATTCATAGCCATTAAAGAATGTATTTAAAAACAGAAGGATTCCCTGTGTTAAGTTTGGTAGTACAGACCCTGAGTAGCCCTGCTGGGATCAGAAGTTGCTTATTGTATTACTGTACGTATTCAGTATTCAATGCAAGTGGCAAGATGCACTGTGTAACTGGATATAGCCAAGGCTTGTGTATGTCCAGTGCACTGCGCAGAGCAGCAAATCATTTTTGCCCTGTGTTGCATGGAGAATGGCATTCATCATTTGTGGTTTTCGTTGCAGTTTAGCAGGCTTTGATTTGGGGTTAGGGCTGTTAGGACAATGAAGTCTGCTATCAGAATCTATAGTTTGCAACCTGTAATCGTCACACGATTTGTCGTTGACTTGGCAGAGGTTCTGGAGAATTTGCATGCGGCTGCCTTCAGAGACACCGTGGGCCGATCGCTGTATGCACCAGAATACATGGTGGACAAGATTGGTACTGAGATGCTGTTAGATTACGTCAACAACATGTACACAGCTGAAAATACGGCCCTGGTTGGCATTGGTAAGACCAGGCATAGTTGAGGAGTCAATGTATACATAACTGCAGATGAATGACCTCTGTACTGATAAAAGGATTCATATACTGTAGCCATATTAAAATGTCCTTTTGTGTATCAGTGTTATTTTATCCATACTTTTGGGAATGATTACCCCGAAAACTAAACTTGCAAGATAAGCAACAAATGACTTCTGAAAGTCCCCACAAGCAGGAATGTGCATGTATTTCTTGCTTAGAATGCAGTAAGCAACAGATCATTGTTTGAAGGCCGACTAGGATAGAGTAGCCAGTGGTTGTATGTGTGCTCAAAAATTGAGTTTCCTGATGCTAAGTAATAAAAAAAATCAACAACTGTTTTTAGGTGTGGATCACGGAGACCTGAAGTCATTCGGTGAGAAGTTTGATGTGAAAAGGGGTGTGAAGACAGAGACACCAGCAGCTAAATACGCAGGTCAGTGGGAATGCATGGATAGAGATTTTCTTTCCCTCCCAAATTTAGTAAGACCTGCTTTTTATGTTAGACTGAGAGCTTAGAAATGTTTTTGAACACTCTGTTTTAAAGACTTGGCACAATTCTCTTAGAGTTGTTCTCAAAGGAATAGTCCAGGTATTCTCACCGAGAAGCATTTTAAAGTCCTGTTTGAATAATTTGAAAGACCTGGTTTGTGTTTAAAAAAAGAGGACGGTCTGTCTTTGATTGAACCTGAACCATGCAAAATCTAACAGGATTCCATTTGATTTACACCCTGGGGATAAGGAGTGAACTGGATTCTTGAAGGAACATTCTAAATGAACAAGACACAATCCAACTTTTAAGAGTCATTTTTGTAAATGTTTCGTCTTGACAGGGGGTGAGATTCGCACCCAGCGGGACTCACCTTACTCCTACGCAGCGGTAGCCGTGCAGGGCGCCAGCCTGAGTAGTAAGGAGCTACTCACCCTAGGTGTCCTGCAACAGCTGATGGGGGTGGGACCTTACATCAAGTGGGGCAGTCAGCAGGCATCGTCCAAACTAAACCAGGCTGCCGGCAAGGCTACCATGTTGCCATTCTCGGTAAGGAAGATTGTCGCCACCTAATGTTCATGTTAGAAAACTTAAGTGTTTGCAGAGTTTGAAAATGTCTGGTTAAATGTTAGGCTTTATGCACGAGATTCCAAAGTAGGTCAGTAATTCAAGAAATTCTGCATTGTTGTCCAACAGGCAAGCTGTTTCAACATGTCCTACAGTGACACAGGTCTATTTGGGATATTTGCTGTCACCCAAGGTGACCAGATGGGAACTGTGAGTAACTTGATATTGTTGGAATGGAGAATCAGTGTTTGTCTGCACTTATGTTAGATCACAGTCAGTGATGTGAACTTTGGCCACACAGGTACCACCCACCAAATTTAGTTGATAATTTGACAAAGTTTGATGCGCACAAAGTGGAAATGCCATCTTAATATGCCTGCTTATCTGGCTACCAGCCTTTCTTGAAAAAAGATTTTCAGTAATAGTCACTTGAGATTAGGTTAAAGGTCCTGTGTTGGATTGTTAATGTTGTTTTGTCATGTGATGGTCTTAAGAGGCCTTGACTTCTCAAATGATTCCTGAAAACTCAGTCTCACATTGTTTTCATTTTTTATGTTGGTATTCATAAATTTGTATAGTGTTCTGGAATGATCAGAATTTCAGACATTCAAGTATGAATGGTTGTTCTTGTCAGATGCTGAAATCAATGGTAGGCCAGATGGGAGCTATCACCAAGGGAAACATTGAAGACAAGGACCTGACCCGGGCAAAGTAAGATACTAATGTATGTCATTTCCAGACTTTAACAGTGACGCCAGTTAAGTTCATCCCAAATCAAATCCTTTGTTTTGCATACTCTGGATTGTACTGCTCAGACATATTCTAGCATCTTAGGATCAGACTGAAAGAGAGAATGCAGCTTTGGCTACTTGAGTGAAGTCCACCTCAGCCCTGAACTATACAGCCTTTCAGCTAGAGACCTGTATCAAGGCAGGGTTTATGAGGACTTGGCTCCAGCACTGGTGTGGTGTTCATGATAAACGCACTGTTAAATTTGCTTCTTTTTGAAGGAACCAGCTCAAAGCAGCAATCCTGATGAACCTTGAGAACCAGTCCACCATCTTTGAGGACATTGGGGTACAAGCCCTCTGTACTGGAGACTATGTCACCCCGGCAGCGATGATAGCTGAGGTAGATGCCATCACTGGACAGGATGCACTTCAGGTAAGCTTGACTGTCAGCTGAAGAGAGAGTGGTTTTAGTTTAGGAAAATGGAAGGCTCCTAAGACGTGTGTTTAACCCCTTCACGCCGGGACGCGGATAGAGATTAAAAATTGAGATCCTCAGCCCGCTTTTCAGCTATTATTCTCGGCCCACGCTCGAGCAAACACGGTGAAAGAAGGCAGACCCTGGCTCTTGTGTATATGGTAATTGGTCTTTGTGCGTTGCCCAGAAATGAAAAGACCGAATTTGCATCATAATCACCAGCTTCACAATAGTCCCCACTTAGAAAAGAGGCAACGGGAATGTGGAAGCTTGAGTAGAGCCATATGCTACCGAACAATCAGCCTTTTCACCGTGTAATTCAAAGCGTGCAGAGCACGCAGGGCCACAAACCGAGAATCTGCAGTTTGGCAGGTGGCCTTTGTGGCCAAGCAAGGCTGGAATTCTTGGAGTCGGCTTTCGGGAAGAAATTCCCGTCGTCATGGGGTTAAGGAAAGTACATTTAACTCATTGTTTCAGACCCGGGAATGCTTTTATTCAGAATAGTCATCGGGTCCATTTTTATAACGGGGTTTGCTCTTACACTGACATATAACACTGGATACTCAGTGTTATATATATGAGTATGGCCGCTGCACAACTGACCAACTTATGCCAGTCCATAATATTTTTTATAACACACCTCAGTCCAATGTGTAAAGTAAGAAATGAAACTTTTTATTAAGGTTTTCGTAACTGAACTGATATTTATTCAACCATGAACTATAATTCAGCAATTTGAGGATTGTTTTATTTATCCAGAATTCAATGTTTGATTTGCTGTTCACTGTGCTTGTTATGTGAGGGCACTGTAACCAGTCTCAAATATTTTGTAACTGGGCACTATCCAACTCGAGCAGAAGCACCGCCTCATCAGGTAAAAAGAGCCATATTGGTCAGGAGGGTTCATTTTGTTGGAAGTGATGCAGGTGTAACGTGTGCATTTTGTAGTCGTTCATGAATCATTGACGTTCAGTTCCGACAAAAGGAGTCTCCGTTGCTGAGAAAAATGGGCCCTCTCTTGGTCTAGCTCGAGGCTCATACTTTGGAAATTGCAAGCGTGATGTCTTGTGTGCATTAGCCTGTATTAGCGAGCCCCATGTGACCTTGTTTTGGCCACCCAGAATAAAGAACCAACAAGAGGTGTGTTATATAGTGCAATAGTGCTTTGAATAGAGGTTAGCACGTCTGTGACATTTGGATCTTGTTTATGTGTTAGGTTGCCAAGCGGATATTCAATGGTAAGCTGTCCATGGCTGCCAGCGGAGACTTAGGTAACACCCCTTACTTAGACCAGCTCCTCAGTGCATAGGCATGCTTCCTCTTCTTCAAAACCACCCGAGGTAGGATTGTCCAAAGGGAAATACAGAAGGAAATTTCATGGAATTTTTATCAAGATAACTTGCAGATGATGATGGCAGACATCGAGAAGTTCCCTGCGGAGCGTTCTGTTCATTTTAGCAACTAGCAAGTTGTCTTGGGTTGAGATTTTTGTTCAGGGTTACGTGGCAGATGTATACATGATAAGAACTGTAATAGGCTTTTCAAGAGTTTCCAGTTTGGCATCTCTTAGGGGTCAGAGATACACGAAAACCTATCACCTGATGAAAGTGGAAAGAAATGGAGAAACTGGCCTTTATGACGGTTGTTTACGTTGATGTCATTATATCAAATCTTTATCACTGACATAGCAGTTTGCCAAAAAGATTCAGGGAAGTTATGGAATGGACTTAAGGTATTTGGAAAAGGTCCTTTTGTTTTTACACATAAATACGCATATCCATAAATACAAAAAACTACAACTTGTGCTTTTATCATTCATGATATCGTTCACTTTGAAGTTAGGGAAAATTGTTTGAATACACTACTGATCAAGATGGTTAAACAAGGGAAAACTCTTTTCATAGATTGTATTGTTGAACATTTTATTTATTCTCGGCTTGTTTCATCGTTTGCCTGACTGACTTTTGGAGAACAGCAGAACACTGTCTCTATCACATTGCCGTTTCCACTAATCATTATTTGTAGTTTTCTCTAATCCCAAAGTCTGACTGCATCCATTTTTATTCTGTGAATATGGCAGGTGGATTGCCAGAGTAAAATGAAATTAAGGTTACAGAATAAAAAATGCTAGTATCTTAATAAGAGTAGAGATGCAAGTAAGAACTGTTGAGTGGCCGGAACCCATTATCAATTTAGTATAAAAAGCAGACCCACTTTCCGTGTGAAGTGTACATTGTATTTGATTTGGATGTTATGTTGAATTGATTGATTGAATAGCCATCAAATAAAAATAGTGTTACATTGGAATCAACATGTGTTTGGAAAATCAGAATTACCTCTTCTATCAAGGATGCAGAAAACCAGACAAATCAAAAGTTGCTGTGTAATCTGCGGGCTCCGAACAATACATCCTTTATCACAGCAGACATCAGTGGTTTACGGAGCTCGTTTTCAGCAATGCTTTTGATGCCTTGCCTTTGATTGTTGAGTAAAGTGCCCAGACTATTAAACGTGTCCAAATATTATGAAACTTGGATTGCACACACACAGTGACTGAGATACCAGAGAATAACTTGGTGTCAAACACGCTTTCATCTTCACAAACTTGAGGGTATCTCTTAAAACCATTAATGAGAGTGATGGTCTTTTGATACGAATTATTAAACTGGGATTCTTTTAACCTTCAAATGACGATCTGGTCACCCGTCACTATCTTATTCTTGTGAGATTGTTCAACGAAATTCCTTGAAAATTTTCATAGATACGGAAAAAGCTACATATGTCGGTGGCTAGAGTTCGTCCCACTTGGGCAGATGGAATTCTTCCCACTGGATTAAGCCATCTTTGTTCTTGTCCACTTCTTCCATCTTTTCGTCCGTCAGTTCATCTACTATTGGTGCTCCCCGTGGAAACATCTCACCATCACCAACGAAGGAATCGTACAACTGTTTGAAAAAGGAGAAGGACTATTAACCAATAACTATTACTGAACTGTGTAGAGAATTTCATCACTTCCCTCCAACGTGGCACTTTTCCTGAAACACATATCCCACTGAGCCAGGTTGGTATTTCAAAAGGCTAGGTCTTTGGGGAATAAAAGTGCTCGCGTGAGTCAGCGTATGGGAGCGCTGATAGGACAGACCATAGAGATCATAATGGGACAGACTATCGCGCACGCGTGCTGCTGTTCCTGAATAGCCTCAGTTGTTGCATTTAGTGGGACCGTTGTAATAATTGCTCCTCTTACTTTGGCTATGCCAGTCCATCATCTTTAATCCCTAACGCTGGTGGTTATTTCCGCCCCTTCTCTAAAGGACATAACGTATTTTCTAAAACACTAAGGACATGATAGCACCTGTTGTTAAATCAATGACCCTGAGTTTTACGCCATTACCATTTAGGCCGCACTCTAGGGGAATGGAGCTATATTCACCCACCTCTTCTCGCTGTATGACGCCGTCATTGTTCCCGTCCATCCTCTTAAACATGTTGGGCATGCCCTTCTGATAGTTTGGCACGGCACCCAGTAAAACCACCTCAAAGATCAGGTCTTCACCCCTGGGAATCTTGTCCCCTGCACAGGTCAGAAAGTGATTAATTCATACAGAGACAGGAGGTGGAGGAAAATGAACATATTTGGACGATTGTTCCTGCGCCAATTTTCATTTTGAAATGAAATTGTACCCAAACTAGATTATTCTACACTGTGTTAGTTGTGTCTTGAACCGTTCGATCCTTTTTACATGAAGATTAAGGCCTATATCACTGGCTGTTGGCAGAACTAGGGGGTAGGCCCTACACCTTGCAGGTGGGAACTTGGGGGCCTCATTTTCTGGAGGGATACTCATTAGGTTCGGTCAAACTAAAACACCGATCGAGGCAAAAACTCTACTCTTATTTCTGAACGGGGTTTGGGGGTTGGACACACGGGAGGGTAGACCTTGAGCGTGGAACCCTTGTTCCCTATACCACCTGCTCCCTAGTTTTGCCTCTGGATGGAGTTCACCAACCTTTGAATTCCTCCCGGCCGTTCCGGACCAGGGAAGCCGGTACGGTGAGGCGGCGCCGCTCCCCAATGCACATGCCGATGATTCCAAGCTCTAGCCCCTTGATGGAGTCCCCTATGCCCATGCGGAACGGGATGGACAGTCCCTCAGATCCATCTTCCTTGTACCTAAAACCCAAACATGGAGTGAGAATGTCGCACCTTTGTTTATTAACCCTGATGCTTCGACGCTTTTGTCAAACGTCCTAGAGCGGTCTATTTAAGTTTACTCAAAATGCACCTCTGCAACTTCGTGCATGCCACATGACAGCTCATACAATTGGAGAGATTTAGGGAGTTACGAGAAAACAGCGGTAAATTTTCTTCCTCATTGGACCTCTCAACACCTAAAAAGGAAGAAGAGATTGCTTTATTCTGTGTGTAATGTGATTGAGTTCACGCGTGTTGCAACTTGAGATGACCGACTCTTGGCAAATCCGCTTTAAAAAGTTCCTTCATATTAATTGCATGTAGACCTACATGCATGTAGAAATGAGTAGGTACCTCCTCTTATTACAGAAGCAAGATACAAGTTCTGTTGTCTAACTTTACCTTGTTGAATGAAAAAATAAATAAGTAAACCCACACACAGGGTTGGCAAATGGCCGTACTCACGTTGTGATGAATTCACTGTTATCCGAGGCCTTGAATCCCCGCAGATGTACCGTGACGGAATCGTCATTAGTCGCCTTGAGTCTATCACAAAACTTTCCCTCTTCGAGAACCTCAACCTTGACAAGGTGTCTCTCCTCTTCCCCCTTCCTCGGAACCTCTTTTTTCTTCTCCCCTTTGCCCTCGTCTTCGTCACTTGCCTTCTCGTCTGCGCCTCCCTCTGCTTCTTTCTCCTCGCCTACCTCAGTTTCATCTTTATCTCTGGGTGCTTCCTCTTTGTCTAATTTCCCCTCCTGTGTTTCCTCTGCGTACTTCTCCCCGGGAGCCTTATCGTCGTGCCCCTTCGTTGATACACACTCGTCCTTACTAACGCAAACTCCGTCCGCGTCTTTTATAGCGTCTTTGGTTTTCACGCCATTCTTTGTCTCCGTATCTTCAGCATAGACAAAGGATATGACGAAAATACACAGCATTGCCACTTTTTGGAGATTCATTTTTGATGGTAATGAAAGCGCAAGGATGCAAATTGACCAACAGTTGCAACTGCAAAAACGATCACTATAATTGTATCGTTTCAACTGCTCAGTAATTTATTGTTTAGTCAAGTGTAATGTTACACGTGTACAATTTACCAGAAACTGACGAAAGTGTGCTTTTTCCCATGCATGCTGACTAGAGCTTGTTATCGGCGAAGACCATGTTTGTGTTTAATATCCGTGGGAGAAATACGGGCTGCCGCCGGACGGTAGAAGAGATACAGGACGGTGGCGTTATCTCGGTTCGTTGTTGCAATACCGGCAATCAACGCGAGTCACGCGGCAAGAGCCGGCCCCGTTCCACGATTCGACGTGGCAACTTTACACAAAGCCACGCCGCTGAACTGAGATAAAAACTAATGGAACTGTGCTAGCGAGATCCATGCTAAGTTGTAAATACGCTGCTCAGGGTAGTCATTTATGGGAACAAAGTCTACTGATACATACACTTGGCTATCCGCTTCTATTTATACATGTACCACAATTACAATATCCAAAATACCACCACCTAAAAAATGACTTCCAGTAATCTTGACAACTGTAAATTCATTGAAGCCAAATTTAAGATGCCCCATTAAAGTAGAGTATCAGCCTCATAGTTCACAGTGAACATACTGCTAGTCAACCTCATGAACACATGAACCATTGTGATAGCTTGATATCACCGGAGTGGAGCAAAGGTAATTATTTTAAAGAACAAATCATATACATGTAACCAGAACATCAAACCATAATTAAACAAAGTACAATAAACAGATTTCCAAATTGAAAGCATTATTTGGAGTGGAATAAAAGAAAATATTTTAATATCTTTTGATTTATAATGAAACTCATGTTACTCACAGGCTTCACGATTTGATTGATATTTATCAGATCAAAGAATATTACTTCTTTCCGTCGGTTTTCTTCATGAAAACGTCATATTCAAAAGATTGTTGAAATCACTGGGACGCTATTTGCTCGACCAGTCAGAAAGAAATTTAGCTTGGGGGTTGTTTATGTTTAAAACAGCATGGGTATGAGTCTATACGGGACCTTAGCAATGTACTTGTCCCAAGACGATCCGTACTTGGCCCTGCAACGGTGCTCGTCCCGTATGCATCGATGCAACAGTAGTATGGTCATGAAGATAATGTAGAAGTGTGGGTGCAGGTGCGTCACTCCACAGGCCAGACAGTAAGCCAGTGAGCCCATCAGGTCTCCAGTATAGTTCATGTGCCTGGCTACCCCCCACCACCCGGACAAGAGCAGCTTGCTTTGACGCTTCTTGCCGTCGCTGCTGAAGTACTCCACCTCCAAATACCGTGGCTTGCTGCCCCAGATATTGGCCTGGCCATTCGTACGACGGAAGAAGTCTTTCTGGTGGTTGACGGCCCGGAAGATATAGTAGCCACCCAAGCCCAAGGCCAGAACACCGGCAGCTGCCGGCTGGGAAAGCTGAACAGGATGGAACACCAGGAAGAACCCCTACAGCATGGGAAGGAATATCATAAATTACAACCTAGTAGCAGGAGCAATAAAATATGAGAAAAAAAGAAGTATAGAATGATCGCCATCATCTCATCGTCAACAATGTCATGCCTTCTACCACGGTCTATATTGTATCTAGACCTTGGCCATCTTTAGCATTGCCAGCATTGGAACTCTATTGTCTTTGTTTTAAACGTCGCAGCCATTATGTATATCATTTTTGTCATTGCTGTCTCTGTCGTTGTCGTCTAAGTTAGACCGTAGGTAGCTTGTCAACGACCGTTATCATGGTCATTATCTTCACTGCAGTCATATAGGCCTAATTCGTTAATGTGACAATCAAATCACCGTTAATATCACCAACCGACTTAAGGTTTTCTCCGGCATTTCGTAACATACCTGGAGCGTGTACATGGTGGGTAGCCACACAGAGTCGCCCCATCCCAGGTAGAAGCCAAAGTGGTCGTGATGCATATCGATGGTGTTGAGGTACCACGCCTCGTTCCAGAAGAAATCTACGACATACATGGCTTGCAAGACGTTCACCAAGATCATGGAGTTTGTCACGTAGCCGTAAAGCTCATACTGCTTCCACGCGTAGGACATGTTGATAATTGTCCAGGCAACGATGCCGGGTCGACCGTTGAAGAAGAGTTTGAAATCAAACCATTTTCCGATCCGCGGGTTGAACTCGATACCCATCAGGAAGTCGTAGAAAAGATTCCCGCTGAATTTGCGGTCTTCCGGGAAGGACGGGAACAGGTAGGCCTTGACCATAGCGAAGACGCTGACGGTGTAGCCCATGATGTTCATCATGATCAGCATTGAGCCGTAGTTGTCCACGATAATGGTTGGGGAGAACCAGCGGAAGTACAAGCCATTTGCGAGGAAGAGCCCGTTGGAGATGAACCAAGCTTGCAGGCCGTTTACCCCGTACTTGAGACGGTTTCCTGCTGGGGTGATGGCACCAAGGCAGATCCCACCACGGTAGCCGGGAATGACGTAGTGACAGACATCGGGAAGATACCACAGGAGTACCTGGCAAACCCACATTGTTAGAGATTGAGCAAAGGACGGTAAAAACGAAGAATCCAGTGTTTGAATACACTTATTCCCCTCAACTTGGCAATTTTTTTCAAACCCCGATTATTTTCCCCACAATGGAAACTTTTGTTCAAGCTCTTCTTGACTGTTTCTGGAACACTGACATTTTTTTCTCATCATATGGCAACATGGCTCCTAACGCCCTTGGACCTGGCGCTAATTTAAACAAAGATTTTAAAAGGTATCTTTAAAGAGTAACTCTTGAAACATAACCAGAATTAATTCTATTTATCACTTGAGGCAAAAGCAAACACGAACGCGAAATTATGACGTCAGATCAAAACATTTGTGCTGCGAATTTCCACGAGGTGAACACATCTCAACTCAAACAAATTTTGCTGCGTATGTTTCGTGACGTCATACTCGCTTTCGCGTTTGCCTAAAGTAAACCTGCCTCTTTTACGGTGAAACCGCGGTCGGCATTGAACAAAGGCCCTATTTCTCATGAATTATGGTCAGAGGTTGGGTTCAGTGATTTATAGGTCTGCATCGTACCTGGAGAGAAAACCAAGAAAGGTAGACCACCACACCCTTAAGGGTCAGAGAGGGGGCATATTCCCATAACTGGATCAACGTGACGTCACCCTGATAGAGCTTGAAGACTGGTGTAGTGAGCTCGCATTGGTAGTGCGTGCATGAGATGAGATAGTAGAAGACCAGTACCGGACAGCAAGTTAGCATGAAGATCACGCCAAACATGGTCAGGAAGTCGGCAGTCCTGGATAAACATCCATACAGGACGGGGTCAGTATTAAATATACTTTAGCATAGACCGTGCAACAAGGGTACGTTGTGACCATCATGAACGGCAGTTACTCATGGGTTCCCTATACATCAAATTCATGTTATCAGAATGTAAATGGTGTTTATTGCTATGACAGGTTTTGATCTAGACACGTGATTGTCCTAAGCAATTTTTTCCCTGCAATTGAGGGTCACAAAATCGAGCGAAGTTGTTTTTAATCCGCATTGCACGGAAAGTTTCTGCGCAGAAAATGAACTTAATTTGACGAAAAAGGCACGAGTAAGGTCTCCAGGAACAAATTACATAGCGAATGAAGTAGAAATGTAAGATATGGTTATTTCTCCATGCTTTGAAATTTGATAGAAGTTTAAACATTTGCCGCTAAATTCGAGGAATTTAACGAGAAAGGCATTTTCTTGGGGAGGAAGCGAGGCGAAGCCGCCTCCCAAAAAACGGTCGCAGAGACTAATAATTTCGTGCACAAGTTGTTGAACTTGCTCAGGTTGACATGGCCGGGGCGTGGCTGTTATACTTGACCTATACGGGATTCAAGGCGTGCAGTAAAGCCTCACTAAACAACTTGACGTTAGCAACTCTGTCCCTATCACTATTTACACCCACTCCATCGAACCATCTGTGACGACTCTCTGATCTACACAAATAAGTCATTATCGGTATGCAACTGTGAAATTTAGGGCCGTGGAGTAAAGACACCTTCAAATTTCTACAAATGAAAACTAACACCATTAGAATTTGCTCTTACCATGCACGTCCCCACTCTCCTGGAGTCTGCGCATTACTTGCTTTGGTTCCATTTTCGATCCTCTGCCTTGGACTAGGTTTCTTCTTCATCTTGCGAGAACGAAACAGATGTTTCTAAAACTCCAAGAAAAAAGGGTTCTTTGCCGCGTGCACTCTGCATCAGATATGGCCAAGGGAACAGTGTTTCATTCGACTAAAAACATTGACGAGCAGAGTTCCTTTCCCCCAAATAGCGCTGACACTCTATAAATAACTCTAACCGGTGCTGACTGAGATTACAGTAATCGTCTTCTTCCTGTTCTGCCCCGCACAATATCCCAGCACAAAGAGTAACTGGTGGCCAGACTAATAGGCAACTTTACAGTGCACCGTGCCAGATTATATTTGGAGAACTGCTGGCTAAAGTTTTTAATTGACCTCAAACAAACACCCCGAGCTGTTCTTTGTCTGATACACTCTTTCACAAGAACTGATATGATGTTGAACAAACGGTGACTGATGACACCAAACAGTCATGGATGATTTCGCACGAACTTTTCAGATCCAGATTTTAAGGTTTAATCGTGTATTCCTCATCTCTAACTGGCCCCCCAAAACTTACGATGGATCGGTAAAAACAAAGCAGAACAGTTTCATGAACCAGCCGAACTGTGAAGCTAAAAAGCAAAGGAAGAACTGTGGCTTGTATGATCTGTAGAAGCACTGCTTCCCATAAAATGGCGTCTTTGACCTTGTCCTTAAAAATGAGAAACTAATCCTAGCTTAGTGGGAAACACAATCGACATGCATGGCTGCATAGTTTTTATGGTCTTTCATATACAACATATACATGTACATGTACGGTGTACTTTAGCCCAGGTTGGACGTCTACATTGCAGTAGCAATGCAATGTAGACGTCGTCCAACCTGGGCTGTACATGTACATGCATTTTATAAGCCTGACTTCGGAAGGTTTCGGCAAGACCATGCACCATGATCTTCAGCGGCTGAGCTTTTGATAACGAATAGGATCAGTGGTTCTGAAAATCTTCGCTGGGGAAAAGTTAATGTATTAAGGAAATGACACATTGATTTTGCCAGACATAGCCCCCAAGGTACATGGACTGGCGCGTACGTTGGCCGCTCACAAAGAAAGGTTGGTTAAATTTAAGTTCCACAAACAAAACGTGACAGACAAAAGTAGGGCTACTAACTTCGAAAACCCGTTTTTTTCTCCACACGTGGCAAAGGTAATTCACAGTTTATGGTCGGTCCTTTATTAGCTCAACGGCAAAGAAGCATTTTGTGGAGTGGAATCGTTCTTCAATGATTGAAGAAACAAGTAATTTCATAATTCAGCATAAGAAATCAACCCTACTGATATTTCTACTTTAAAATCAAACTGACGACGTCGAAAGACTGTAGAAACTGTTGTCAGAAAAGTTTGGGTAGAGTTCGATAAACTAATTCCACGCAATAGTGAATGTTCAAGTTCGTTAACCTTACAAAAACCACGTTAATAGGACCAATAGTATGCGACCATCCATCTTATCGTTTAGTAACAAAACGTGCCGGTCTAAGTTCAACGAGGAGATAATTTTATAACACGTGGATACCTAAATATAGAACCGATGTTGAAAATAACACCAGTTAGATAATTAAAATACAATGGTTTCAAAAGTTTGAGTGGGCTATATATAGTCGGAGCCTTATTTAATCAGCAAAAGGCCGTGTCCAAAACGGGCTTCCAGAGCTACGGCTAGGTCTATTGTCTACGCGTCTTACGCATTTCCAATGGAGTGAATACCTAGACCTAGCTCTAGACAAGAGATTCGGATGCGGCCTTAAAGTACACTGCCGCGTCGGAAAAACAAGACTTGTCATATTGAGGCCGCTATTTGCGGAACTTGACTAATTACCTACCTCTGAAAAAAGAAGAAGTAACATTTGTTTGTCAAACTGTTTGGCGTCTCAGATAACTGGATAATTTCCGAATATCTGTGGATCAATACCTTTCCACAAACGTAAGTTTTGTGCCGCCAGAAGTTCAGACGATTTCCATTTGCGGATTTCCGTTTGTACTAACTGAATATAAGCTAAAAAGCCTCCTGTTCACTATGCGAAGCTGTACTGAGCAATCCAAGCCAAATGGAAACTAGCATTTCATGCTTCAAGGCCTTACTTATAATTTTCATGCATAAATGTGCATGCTGGTACATCTGTGCCAGCCGCTTGAATAATTCTAATTAGCACTTCTTTTCTACAGCTTGCAGAAAATTGCTTTCTGCTAAAAATATTCGTGCGAAATGGAATGGAATTGTGTGGACCTATATTGGATCGAACTGCTTGACGTTGGAAGAATTGTAACGCCCCTTTCTGATCTTTTCTAGAAGGTTAGGGCAAGTTCCCTTCGGCCCCTCGTGACGCCCGTGGCTTTGTTTGATATGCGTTTCTGACCAAAAGTTTGCTTTTGCTTATCTAGTCAAATTACCATATGCATAAAGTAAGAATACGACCGAAATTTCGAAAGTACGAAAGCCCACAAGTGTACAAGTACCTATTTTCAAAAATGTTTGTTTTTACAATGTATGAAGTTTCAAGTTCGCTTTTTTATATCGCATAAAACAAATGTGAAAATATGTCTCATAAAACGAACTTTGATAAACGAAATCTCGTCAAAACAATTTTCTAAAATTAGACCTTCTAAAATGAACTTTGGAATAGGCCTAACGAAAAATATCTTCGACTTTTTGAAACTGCGTACTCCATGGCACTAGCGGGCTTTCGCAGGTAAGATCGCATATGTACTGTTGCGGCGTCGCTTAGTCACTGTTGACAAAGGCTCAGCGTCCCATGACAAGCAACCTTTCCCAAGGCAGGAAATCTTATTGGATCATCCGGTGCACAGCTTAAAGTGAAGTTCCGATCAACTTTTCTTAGACATAATTTTTCTGCAATTCTATGCTCTTCTTTATCGTATGAAAACTATTTGACATCTCTTTTATTTAAAATGTATATTAATATTATCCATGCTTTGGTGGACAACTGTGGGTGCTGTTGTTATGATGTCATACGGGGAATACATGGTTCATTACATAGGTTTTTACCGTTCAAATTGTGAACCAAGAATGTACACAAAGGGTTCCTTGTATGCCTATTGCTATGTACTTAAACGACAATGAATCGCCATAGAGGAGAAAATTTAGACTAGCAAAAGTTACCAGAAACAGAAAAATTTAGTTCACGTGAAGTATTTAAAAATAACAATAAATACATAACCGTTTCAAAAACATCGTAAATTTAACGTTTACCCCATTAATTGTTACCCCAAAATGAATAAAAAGATCCTGCGTTTCCCCACCCACAAAAAATGATTTGATGGCGTTATCCGAAGAACGCTGATATGTACAGTGTACATGTACTTTGCGCACAGTACATGCAGTATCGCACGCTTCAATAGACCACGGTGTGAATGATGTAGCTTGGCACACAGGCAAACACCGTCTCAGTTCAAGGTAGAAATTAAAAGACACAGTCGTACCGTCTCCAGGGGGAAATACTTATCACTCAGCTGCCAATTGATGAAACAAGCACGGCGGCTGATGCGTCATTTTCAAGCATAATGGTGTTTTATGTCCCATTTTCCATATTCGTCCGTTTCTTTCGTTTTTTCCTTTCCTCCCCTTTAATCTACTTTGTTTTGCAAGTGGAAGGTACATGGGGGGGGCCTCCCTTTCGATCCCCGACTCTCATGGCCTTGTTTGACCTTCAGTTTCAGCAAAACTTAAGGATGTACCATCCTTGCCTTTCTCCAGTCAAACGACCATGTGCATTACGTGAGACTGCGACACAAAAGTTCAAGGAACTTTTTTCCCACCGCAGAAAATCATTTCTTTCTGGATCATCCTGTGGATGGCTTAAAATGAAAATGGGCAACCCGAAGGAAAATCTGGTTGGTGGATGCGTTCTTTAAGTCAAACAATAAGATTTGACCATTGGTCGATGTTCTTACTTCGGTTGCGATAAGAACGGTGCCACTTTGCTGGTGTATCGCCCCTCGTGAGAAGCTTTGATTAACCTCCATCGCTGTCTTTCAGTCGTCGTTCCCGTTGACAAGTCACTTCCATACGACCATTCACGTTGTGGCTGTGCTGATTTGACATCTGGATGGTGACTGGAGTTTACGTCACTGCATGATACCGCAGTAAGGCGAATGTGCAAAATGATTACGAGAAGGGTGTTAACAAAATTCAGGTTTAATTCGCACGCGTACAGATCTCGAGAAATAGATTTTTGAAAAATTGCCAGGCAGTATTTGAGATCAGAAGAAAATCTTGAAATCATCTTAATATAACGTATACTCTGAAACAAGGGCGGTTTCAGGAACATGGGGGGCAATTTTCTTTTTCTGGGGGCATCAAAACTTTCAGAGGGATCGAATAAAGAGAAAAGAAATAGACTAGAAATCGCCCATCTCTCATTAAAAAATCCCTTTTTTGCTCATTTTTGGGGAGCAATGCCCACGTTGCCCCTCGATGTGCCAGTAGTTGTGAAGTCGTTGAACACCAACAATAACCAATTGGTAACTTCAGTTACATGTAACTGACTTCTTGGAAAGGCCAGCATTTTGTCTAAACCTAATTCTACATGTATACGCAGCCTTTTACTTTCGTTATTTAATTTACCATCGTCACATACTTAACACAACAATAAAGATGCGCCTATATTAAACAAAATACAAAACACTAAACTATTACAGCGATCATGACAATATTCATTTACCTGTGGTTTTATTATGTGGTTAAGGAAAACTGTCATGATTGCCGCAATTGTTGTTGTTTTTTGGGGGGGTTATTTATTTACTTTATTTTATTTTATTATTTTTTTATCATCCGGAAAAATAATTTTAGGATTCACCATATTAAACGACGAAAATCGGTAGCTGCGTTTCTGACGGGGCCTTCTTCCAAGAAGGGTTCAGAAGATGGTGAGCAGCTGGGTTGGCAGACGATATTGTGTCTGGTGGAGTGTGACGGGGTAGTTATCGCCCACGAGGCGGCTGAGGTGGGGTCCGGTACCGGTACTGGAATCGGTTGCTCTGCTCTCGATAACTTTTTCATGACTGGATCAGCGTTGACTTGTAGTCTTACCCTCTCTTAAAGTGTTGCCTGTCTGTCTTTGCAGTTCCAATCCAACCAAATACATCCATGAAACTATTACCCATAAATAATCATTTGACATTTCACACTACCACGTCGTCATGCATGGTGATAAAAGAATATTAAATTTTTACAATTTTGACGCCCCTGGATCTATGCAGTGTTGTCAAGAGTTAGACTGGATGTTGAACTATTACTGCTAGAAACAGAGCAATCTGAACAATTATGACGTCAGCGCCCATCAAAATAGGACGAAGCCTGCAGCTGTAGGCCTACACTAACATAATCACTGTCGTTGGCGGTTGAACATTAAAAATAATATCCACATAAATTCAAATCAAACACCTGAATGCATTATGGGACGCGTGAGTGACAGGTTATTGACAAATCAGAATGCTCACTACCAGGCTAAACGCTTGGTAAATGACGTTGAAAATAATTTTGACTCTTAAAAAGGAAATATAAACTGCTGGGTTTTTTAATTTATAGACCTAATCTAAACAGTTATGAAAACTTTATCGTAAATTTTGTCATCTTATGCATTTTTTTATCGTCGTTGTTTTAGATGATCAAATCTCAGGGTCACAAGGGAATAATACCTCTTGGAGTTAAAGAGAAGTTGTTGTGTTCATAGTTCTGCTTTCCTGTTGCTATTGGAACAAGAATCACTCTGAATTCCATGCACGGGCAGTGTACGGGCGTCGCCTTCACGGCCGGCAGGCAACTCTTCCGGGGCAAAAAACCGGCATCGATATTGTTGATGTTCTGGCCAGCTCCGTCGTTTGTTGCTTGATGAATACAGTGTTCTTTAAAGTGGATCGTGAAGGCTACTATGTAAGCAAGATGCCCTGGCCGAGTGGGGCGACACCGATGGATACACCGGCGAAAACTGTCTTGGTGCCCGGGGCCAAGGCTTCATCGCGCACCACGGACTTGCGGGCTTCAGCGAAAGTCTTTCATCTGAGACACGTATGAAATTAAGATGAAGATCGCCCTGCATATAAGCAGTATATTGTACCGACACAACCGAAGCTTGCCACAAAGCCTTGACTTGAGCCAGGGTTAATGGCGTGCAGTCACTCCTCCTAGTGAGCTGTCTGTGGACCTCCTGATTAGATTGCTGGGAGAGTAGGCCAAGATGGCCTGATGACCGTGACTGCGAAGAGTGAGGAGCAACTGGCGGTAGGCATTGCTGCCGACTAATCTGCCATCTCAGCGTTCATCTAGAAACGGCAAATACCGAGCACCTGTACGGATACAGAAAGCCTTTTTGGATTGTAGGTGTCGTTGCTTCCATCAAGTTACTTTGATAGGTTAGTCCGAAGTTCAAAACTTCGAAGGCGTGGACAGCCGACGAAATTCAAAACTAAATTGTTCGAGAAGGGCAAAGTAAATGGCAAAACAGCACCAAAAGTCGCAGATTTATTCCAGAGACTTTAAACAAACTTTATTGTTACTCATCTAAAAGAGATTTACCTGTTTTTCTCAGCCACTTTAGAGGAGAGCATTTTTTTTCAACTTTCGAATCATTCCATTCTGTGGCATGCGCGTCGACATCTTCATCTCCGCCGTGTGAGTGCAGTCGCGAGTCAAATAATTAAGGCCTTTCAACACCGCCCTCAATCGTTAGTGAATTACCAGTTACACTGCTCGGTATATACGGTACGTACACATGTATACGTTATCGATCGCATCTATGATCTACATGTAGGTGCCGAAACGAGGTTCTGGGGTAAAATGCCGATTGTTTCCTGAATGTCCTTCCTAATACGAAGCAATGGAACTCACAGATACTTTTTACGTCAAGGCAGAGTACATAGAAACAGTTAAGTACCTATTGCTTGGCATACCATACCAACTTGTCATGCTTGTGGAGGAAATTTTGGGTGTCGGTCACTTCGCCCCTATCCTGCTTTAATACTTTTAACTTGTGGAGTCGGTCACTTCGCCCCATCCCCAACCTCGACTCCATCGTGTAAAATACGAAACTTATGCTGACTGGCTATTCAGGATGAATACATAAAGTCAGTCGCATGTATTTCAAAAGCTGTGCGCTCACGCCCACCTACACGTATTCTCTTGCACATCATGCATGCATAAATCTGGATTGCTCCTATTTTATTACACACTGACTACAGTCCTAATTTAAACATCCCAAATAGTAGGATATTTCAATTATACAATGGTCGTACTAGGGGTTAGATCGCGCAAGGCATGGTGGGAACCAACATGGTGTGGCAAGATCGTGTACATTGGAATGAGGTTGCCCCATCCTAGCCCAGGTTGGATGACGTCCACATCTGTACATTGCATTGCGACTACTAACGTCCAGGGTATAAAAGTCCTCCTACTATGGATTTGTTAACAATCAACATACATGTACATGACACGTTCATTTAACATGCATAGGTACTCGCACATACACGAAATGCATAGTAACCAAGTGCCCTTATGCATGCGCAGAAGAGCCGTTGGCATGAAGAAGTCGCAAATAAGGCCGTGTCCGAACGGGGCTTTCAAAGATATGGCTTGTCCTGTCGTCTGCTTGTCTCCACGTACATGTATTTGTAATGGAGCGAAGACCTAGACCTAGCTCTAGACAACATGCATAACTGACAGAATGTGGGCCGAGCTTGGAGGCCATTTCGCACATGCGCAAATGTGTACTACCACACGAATGTAGGGCATTCACGAACTGCGGCGGAAAGCGTGGAGTTTTGCAGAATTTCCTGCAAAATACGTTGTCCGTGGGCATACTTAGTAATTTCATCACAGCATTTGTGGAATTTGGGATACAAGGCACTTGTGAACGACATTTGAACTGTCTTCGTCGGGTAAAAATGTGAGAAAAAACTGCTGAAAAAAAATTTTGCATGGTAGGAGGACTTTTGTACCCTGCATGTTAGTCGCAATGCAATGTAGACGTCGTCCAACCTGGCCTAGCCCCATTCCCACTCCCCACATTCCCATTTTGCTGAATTTCAATTTCACCCCATTGATTATCGTGCATTCTTTTCTTTTAGTTTTAGTTTTAACAGAGTCATCGAACCAATTAAAATGTCAACGGTTCGAGTAGGCCTATCCAGCCAAGTCAGTGGTTCCCATTCAAACAACTTGCTAAGGCAAATATTATGTATAAACATGGCCTATTTTTGACTGCGGGTTGCCTTTGAGAATTGTATCTCTCCGTGGTTCAATCTATAACTGTTAAACAGCACCTCTCAGTAAAACATGTTTTCTCTGATTTTATCTGTATATGTGGAAGCATCCAAATCAAACTTACATTTAGTGTCATTTGTCTTCAGAGCTCAACTATAACAAGCTTAAAAGGTTTTTTTTCTATTCATGCCAAGATGCGAATTCTGAATGTAGATCGCGTTATTCAGAGGAAACGAGGGGAAGCCTTTCCCTGTGTTCATTGTGGATAAACCCTTGTGCATGCCAACAATGGCTACATGCTTTTGGGTGCTTCTGTATTTATTTGAACAGATTAAAAGAGCCAGGAAATGAATTTTTCTTAAAATCACTTTTTGTGTATTTCTGTACTCTTCTTCCATGTATGAAGACTGTTGGACGTCTTTTTTAGTTACATGAACTGAGCGGTGCACTTTTTCAAACATTAAAAATAGACCAAGCATTTCTGGACAAGTGAGGGCACTTTTGCTTTGATGTAAATCCAGGAAGACATGGTTCAGGTTGCATGTTTTCTTGTTCAAATTGTGAATCCCAAATTTGCTATCTGGGAACATTTCTGTGAAAAGGATTTTTGCTGGATTATTGCCATATACTTACACAGCAATGAATTGCCAAAAGAAAATAAAATCTGCCATGGCAGTGGTTAAAAATCTGGAAATTTTCTGCGCACAAATTAGTGCAACTTTGAGATTCAGTGCTTTGAATGACATCATAGTTCTGCTCATGAATATGCAAATGTACATTAGCATAAAACCCAAAAAAGCATCAAAATACAAGTTAAAATTGCAAAACAAAAATTTAAAATAATTTATTTTTAATTGAAACCCAAAGATGCAATTTCAAGGGTTTTTAGTAAAATTTATAAAAATATTTCTGTTTCCTTGTTCCTTTAAATTCAGAGAAAACATGTTTTACTTGGAGTTGCTCTTTAAGACACCAGAATTGAACAATTGCCAGAGACAAAGTGGAGATCGTGTGGGTTTCAGTTCTTCTTTTTTTTAATACCCAGTTCTGTTTTCAAGGGGTATGTCACACAAAAGTAATTCAAGCACAAAATATCCCGAACTAAAGCGTTAAATAGAGCTTGGAGAAGGAGGAGAGCTGGGGAAACATTAGTTTCGTTTCATCCATTAGTGTAACCTTATTTCAGCAAGGGTAGGCCCTACCCCAGTACGAGTTGCCCAACTTGTAGCTTCATGTAATAGGGGCCCATATGTTTTTACATGCCTCTTGTTCACATCCATATCAGCCGACAAAAATTGAAGTGGGTGTAAAAAGTACATGTACTTGTAGTTGAAAACTCTGATTAAATTGAATATGTAACCACTGCCTTCAACTCTGAAATTGGCTTCGGAGGATGAGGACTGATCCCGTCTGTTAATTTAGAAATGAGCCACTAAATTCATTACGAATCTATTCAGTGAGTGTGATGTCAAAGACATCTCAGAAACAGCCTAATGGTGGATGCCTCTTTCCCATTCTTCTGATGTACTGGATGACAGTGACAATTACAAGTAGGGGCCAATACTAAGTGACAATGCTAAATTTGGGTTTGTAGGATATGTTATCACTTTCTGATTGTTAATGACTAAGCCACTGCAAAGGAAAATGAGTGATGTCCATATGGAACGCTTGATAATGCTACATGATTGATATTGCAGATCACCCAATAATAGCACCGAACATTAAAATTTCTGAAGTATCCATTTTTAAGTTTTAGGCAGGATAAATCAGATTTCTTCAAAATTCCAGTGTCTCCATGTAAATTACTCCCTATGTCTTCAACTTATTTCTTGCCACCACCCTGTCTTCCCTTCCCTACAGTTCTTACACCGTTCATTCCTGAAGTGCATACTGTTCTTTTTGTATATTTCAGGCATCAGGAAACAAAGTGAGCCGGCAGTCAGTCCTGTGTGGCAGTCAGAACATAGTACTCAATGGCAAGGTGAAAGACTGGACTTTTTTTACAGACCTAGCATGTCACATGCCTCAAACTTTATTCACACGCTCACACCGGGCAAACTAAATCACACGCCTAATGCTTACCATGCCTGCCTGGTTTGCCTGCTGTTGGTTTATGTATTTTTGCAACGTCGCTCCAGTTCTTGGTGGCTAAACAGAAATGTGTATGTGCCCAAACATGGTGCTTGTGTTGGCCTCAAAACAGCTTTGAAAATACAACATCATACCCAGGGCATGCAGCCACGTGGCACGCATTTGACAAGCTCCTGGATCAATCAAGGGTGCCATACTTGTAGGATATGTTGAAGATGGAAGCAGAATTCATCACCGGCACTGGTATCACACTCCCAGCCAGTACCTGGAGTTGGCATCTCTGCCAAGCAGAATTCTTCACCAGCACTGGTGTCACACTCCCAGCCAGTACCTGGAGTTGGCATCTCTGCCAAGCAGAATTCTTCACCAGCACTGGTGACACACTCCCAGCCAGTATCTGGAGTTGGCATCTATGCCTTGTATTTACTTTTACTCACAGTTCTCCAGATGTGTTTCTGAATGAAGAATGCCAAATTAAACAGCAGGTGGCTATGGTCCAGATGTGCCTCGAAGTTTAGAGGTTTAGCAGGGCATTGTGGGTTACATCAGGGTAAAACCTCAAGTTTCCCAGTGCTAAATGGTGCATTCTAACCTAATTTTCTCATTCTACACATCGGTAGGGCTTGTCATTTCCTTAGCTGTACAGATGTGTCCTCAAAGTTTGTACGTCAGCATGGTTAATATTTGGTACATGTTTCTAATGTTAAATTGTTGCCTTGGGCTCTACAATTTGTACAGTATAATGTACATGCAAAGCTGTAAAAGAATTACCACTGTTATTTTGGACTCTACGATGAAGATTGCTCAAAGACCCGAGGCATCCATCTAAAATCCATTATTTCAATTCCATTACAAGAAGTGCCTGTCTTTGGAGTGTTGTAAGCACCAATGTGTATATATTATGGATTTGCAGAGCCCAACTGGCTTCCATGGGGGCTGGTCTTGATGCTGTTATGTTTGTTTGGCAAAGAATGCATAACACATTTCCTGCCTGAGAACATTTGAAAAGGTTTAAACCATATGAGCATATTTTTTCTGAAACAAAATTTTGTCATCAATGCAGTCCATCATCCATTCCGACTGTATCATCAGAGGTGACCTTGCCAATGTCAGAATTGGCCGAAGCTGTGTCATAGGTCAAAGGACCGTCATCCGGCCTCCCTTCAAGAAGTTCAGCAAAGGGTGAGCATTTGACAAGTGACAATGCTTGAAGGGATATGTTCAAATGTAATTCTCAATGACAGTCTGATGTGCCATTCAGCAGTTGCACATGACATGTTTTGTCACCTGTGACCCATCCTAACAAAGTAGGTCACCAGAGCCTCTTTTGAGGTGAAGGCCTTCAGAAGATTCTTACATGATGGAAATCAATAGGATTTATTAATCAATAGGATTTATTAATCAATAGGATTGCTTCAGCATTGTTCAACCCACATAATGTCCATTTTCACAAGCACGATGAACAAAGCATTACTTCTAAACATCTACATGTAAGTGTCAACTGGAAACCAATAATTGAATTGGATTTAGTGCAGGACAATGTCTTGACTGACTTTTGGGTACAAGAATCTCTGCCTATAGCTAGAAGTTATTTTGTGGGTTCAATTTTTTGTGCAGTGTGGCTTTCTTTCCTCTACACATTGGAGACCATGTATTCATTGAGGAAGACTGCATCGTGAATGCTGGGCAGGTGGGATCCTACGTGCACATTGGGAAAAATTGTGTCATAGTAAGTAGTTGTCGTTTGTTCAGAAGCCTGGATTAACAACAGAGATTCTTTTTAGATTGTTTGCTGGATACCCTTCAGGGGGAATGATCAATAAGATAAATTGAAACTATTACAGATAATGAAAATGACTTGGAATCTTATTACTGTTGGTGGTTATTTTGAAAATCAAATGAAGTGAATCAAATGCAATTAGAAATTCATAGGTTGAGAGATTTGTCGTTTTATTTTGTTAGTGTTTTTTAAATAAGTTGCTAATTGATATTTATGTAGGCCTAAAGTCAAAAACATGTTTTTTAAAACTCTGGTAATGAAAAGCAAAACCTGAAGTAGTCTTGAACTAATTTCATTTGATTTCAATGTAGCATCAGAATACCATATCATGAGATCGACAGAAAAAGAATTTAAAAAAATGGAAATTACACAGTCTGTTTTTGTCCTCACAGGGTAGGAAGTGCGTGCTGAAGGATTGTTGTGCAATAGCTGATAATACTTATTTGCCTCCTGAGACTGTGGTACCTCCATTCACACTGGTAGCAGGCTCACCAGGTAGGTGTAGATTAGATCCGGAAAATAACAATATTATGATGCCCATGCAAGGGAACCAGTGAATGACTCATTGTGAGTGTGCACCTGCTTTAGTGGGTATTAGTGCATGTGACTTATTTTCAACTGAATGTGTACAAATGTCTTAGCACATTTGCTTAACAAGGTACCTAAGAGTACTCTCACTCTCTGCATTTATTTCTGGTTTATGCATACACGTAGGTATATTGTGGGGTTGCCATCTAGCCTTCTGTCTGTCTTTTGGGTTGTCCGTCTGTCGACATGTAGTTGTCTAGGCATGTTTTTGTCTTGTCATTCAGGGGAATAATCCCCTTCCAAACTCCCCTGCCCTAAAACTACAGACTTACGTTCCCATCGTCAGAGGTTCATGCAAAAAACACAGGAATCCTTTTAAGGTGTCTTACGTGCATTTATCTTGTGACACATCCATCTTGACTTAGTATTCTTTATTTCTTCTCCTCCCCTTAGGTGTGGTTGCTGGTGAGTTACCAGAGTGCACTCAAGACCTCATGATTGACGTCACACGGGGCTACTACTCTCATTTCCTTCCAGTCCAAGAAGTCAAATGAGCATTAACCCTCATTGTACATGTTATTAAACCTTCAACTCATGTCACGGCAGACTCTTGCATGGCTATGCCAAAGTATACAAAATATTACTGGTGTGGGGACTTTTGAGTTAAGATTTGAATTTTGCTTGTATGCCATGATCTTGCTCCTTCAGGTTGCATGCCTTAGACAGGTAACGTTCCGTACTTCATGCACAGATTGGCCGGCTACATACACAGACCATCAACTGTCAAACATTCCTGGCACAGCATGTGTGCTCCAAATGGTGTTGGAGGGTGGATGGGGCTTGCATTAGCAAAAGGTCGTAGTTCTAGGTTGTAAAAAAGTTTCAGAAATGGTTTTTTTTACTACAGCTTCCTTTATGATTTCCGTCATCATTGTCTGGTATAATGACGTGGTCTGATTCCTCACGCGCAACATTGGAATTCCCCAGAAGAAGGTGTTTAATGTTGAAGATGAGGCAGGTCATTATGTTGCACTGGCACTGCTCTCAGAGAGAGACAGATAGAAGCACTTATCCCAAATTACATTAACAACGCAATTCATTCGGTTTAGGTTTCATAGGTGATTATTCTCATGAAATCAAGCAGTTCTGCGTTATATACCTAACAAATTGCTTAACACAGGTGAACAAAATTGGACTGAAGTTGCAATACGCACATTCTGTAGTTTAAAGACTATATTTCTTTATTCATATTTACTTGAATAATGCTGATGTTTTGAGGGTCATTCTACGTACCGATGTAATTCTATTTCAAGACATTGCTGAATGTTTTGATTTCAGCTCTACTCACTGAAGTCCCTGCTTTGTTTCCAGTTTTATTTTTCCAACATTTATAAATTTATTTTCAAAGTTGTCATTTGCAGATTCTGTGCCATATCCTATCGGTGAAGCTGTCGATTAATAGCATAAAACAATGGTCAGCAAACACAACACCTGTATTTGCTAACAGAGCAGACATTGCTTGCGAGGAAATCCAAGCAGGATATGATCTTAGTACCCTGCGAGAATGGAAAAGTTGCTGAACAGTATTTTATGCTAGGAAGTACCAGTCCCTTACAATTTCCCTGGTTGGTTTTGTACGATACAAATATACATCTTATTTATTAGGAATTGGCAAAATAGAATGGTGTGCTGTAGCCAGTAGATGACAAATCTGTTCTGATGTGCTTTGAGCTCTTTGAATTAAAGTATCAAGTATAATATTTCAATGATTGACATCTGGTCTGGTTTGATAATTAATGCACAGTCTTCAAGTTGTGCTTCAGTATGCAGCACAGTCTGTGTCATGTACAATAATGTGCTATGTACCATATGCTGAACTAGAGTAATAGTCCATTTATTCGGATAATTTGGGATTCGTAAACGGACATAATTTCTCTTCCACGTTCTGAAGAAATTTACAAAAAAACACAAATTTATCCCAAAGTATCGCGTGAGTTAAATCCTGGCACGGGGCTCGAGCAGCGCCCTCTAAAAGAGGGTACTATTTGAAAATTACATTTTTTGAAAATCTCAAATTTGCTCGGTGTAAAAGGTATCAGAAATTGAAGTGCCGAAAATTTGGAGTCCAATCGTCATACTAATTTTGCTGTAGACTGTTTTCCACAACGGAACTATCGCCGTTTCTTTTACCATTTTTCCGGTTTGCCGTCGGCTGGAGGATACTTGCAAGCCTCTGTCTGTACCGTCTCAATCGGCTTGTTGTAAAAGTGGTCGAACTGATTGACCTTGAGCCACTGCAGCACGTCGGCCTGAAAACGAGAGCGGAAGTCCGCGGGATCTCGGGCCAACACGAAGAGTCCAGCTCGCATGGGGTCGCTCACGATGGAGTACTGGTACTGAGGCTGGGCATTACGCCACGTAGTCTCTTTTGGACCGAGCTGGATCACCCAATCTGTTGCAAGAAAGGAGAGAGGTTTTAAAGACCGATGACTGAAATGCCCCCAAACGAGGCAACTCGCAATAGAACAGAACATCACCGAACTTCTGAAGTTATTCCTTCTGGCTTACTTCCTTTGAAGCAGGAAGATGACAAGTGTTTATTGGTGCCGTAGTGGTACCTGGGATTCCTCTTCACACAAAATGCTTCGGGCAAATATAGTTTCAAACGAAAAAATAACGCCTTTTCTTTCTCAAGTATATAAATGTATTCCAATTTCTGAGGACGGGAATGGGGGACTAAATAATTCCCAAGTGACTCCATTGATTTCATACACTTGGATTTGAAAGAAAATACATGTCATTCCATCCAAATATTGAAGAAACGAAGACCTGTATAGGCGGACATCATTCCTAGAGCAGCCTACAGAATTCGAAAACTGATAAAGTGAAAAGAATTGTTCAACTGTGATGTATTCGCAGCAAGCGTATTGGAAGCCTCTAACTTTGGTTTCCCCAAGTCCGGTCACAAGTAACAATGGGATGGATGCGACATCAATAGTCCCATAAATCACATTTCTCTCAATACATGGTTACTAACAAAGTCCCGTTTCGTGCCCTCAGGCCTTACCCTTGATCTACCATTGTTCTTACAGTGGACCTAAGAGAACATCTGATGCATTTGACTGCATCACTGCTGAAAACTTACATGGGCCAGGGATCGGGTTTACTGGAAATTTCACCAGAAGTTGACCGGGCTCATTCTTATTTGGCACGTAGGCGTAGCCTTTGATGGCTTTTCTCGGGCCCGTGGGGCTACCATCCGTGTTCGCATTGTAGACGGAAATGGTATTGTTCGGGTTCAGACCGTCTGTTATTTGGATACAAGAAATCAACAAATAATGGATAAGCATATCATCACCTTCATTCATGGGAACCTGGTTGACGACAAAGGCAGTCGAGGAAATTTGTTGCGTAACATTTGAAGGCGGGGCCACGGTGAGGTGATTTTAATTGAGCTTGAAGTTTTTAGATACTTTGCCAGTCTATGAGTTGTACATTTATACGCTGTCTAGTTTTTGTTGAGAGCGCATCCCCAACTGTGAGAGAAAGGTCGTATTTTGGGGAAAATAACGTTCATGGTATTGGCCTAATAATAAACAGGTAAGTTTAAATAAAAGATTAAAAAAAGAGCTTCAGGCTCAGTTATCATATTCCAACAGTCACAAAATCTTGGAAGAACAGTGTTTCTCAAATCTTTTAGAAACCTGTGAACTTTACCATAATAAACCAAAAGCTCCGAGAAGAGTAATCAGAATTCAATTGCAATTATGGCTACTTACAGTCAGCAGTGACGCAGTCAGCATTCCTCTCAAATGTAGAAACTACTACCAGATCTGCGAACATCTTGTCACAAGAAAAATGACACAGTCATTGGTAATCCGTTAAGTTGTAATGCGCCTGCATAATAACATGGAACATACACATAGCTCAGAGATTTGCCAGTATGGAGCAGGTGTATTTGGCAAAACAACTGAGATACTAGGCCTTTTTATGCCGAAATTTGTGAATGGATGGCCTACATGGAAACTTATGATTTTTTTTATTTCTAACGATATTTTGATCGCATCTGGCTGTGTACTGTTTATTTATACAGCCGAAAAATTGCCCCCTGCAGCAGTTGCATTTGAAGCTTTGTCTTAAGTCACTAATACCAGCCAATGGATACACTTTCCAGGAAAAGAAAGTTCTTGATCCAAACTTCGAAGACGAAGGTTGGGGCATCAACTGCATTTTCAGCTGAGCTATAC